TCGGTGACGCCGAGGCTCCGGCCCTGCTGGCTGCGCAGGGGCACTGCGCTCTGCCCTGGGCGGGGGTGGTGTGCGGGGGGGGGGTCGGGGGGCGGGACAAGAGCGTCTCATGCGCTCTGAGGGCTCCAGGGTCAGGATCCTTTGATGATAAGAGTCAGAGGTCAAATGGGCAAAACCAGACAGGCAGGCAGACAGCCCTGTACCCGGACTAACTGACACACTTACTGCAAAATACCTCCCAACAGAAGTTAGATGACAGAAAAGCAGCATAAGCTTCTGGAAGACAACTGGCCACCGGCAGAGCACCTCACACACAACAACGATGTTTTTACACTTTCGACGGAATAATCAAGTCTACCTTTTGAAAAGAAAACGGGTAATTCCAGAAACTTCGAAGGGGTCAAGGAAAGCAGTCCCTCATGATGCCCCACAGCTGTTACAGGCTCACAAGGGAGCAGGAATTGCCTTGGCCATGGTCTGCACCTGGGGGGTGGTCCCACCCCAAGCGGGGTCGATGCTGCTGCTCTCCCATCAGCGCTCGGACTCGCACTCCCACACTCCCAAGGCCCTCACCTACCCTGCCCCCGTAGAGGATGGAGGGCGGCTGGAGGACCCGCCCGGTCACATCTGTCATCTCGTCTTTGACCATGATTCCAAATTCACGAACATACGGGTCTGTATTAAAACTGGCACTTCTCATCTTGAAAAGGGAAGAAAGAAAAGGCACAGAGTCAGGGGCGGCCCCTGCTTCTTTCCAGAAGCCGCATCTGTCCGAAGCGTCAGAGGTACCTCGCCCTGGGACCGAGTGTTGGCCTCCCGAGGGTGTCCCGCCCAGGACTGGCCCAAGGACATGCGCTCACCAATTTGCTAATCTCCTCCTGCCGATCGGGGGCTGACCTGGCAGTCGCTCTGATCATGGTTGAGGTCTGATTGTCCGTCAGCTTTTTAATACATCTCTGTCCCGCCACGATATTACAGACCTACGAGAAAACGCAGGAACGGGGCGTCAGCACCAGCACCGGGGAGCGGGCTCAGGTCTGAGGCCGAGCGTGAGGGCTGGCACCCAGCTCTGTCTGTGACAAGTCTACTCCTCGCGGTAAACTGTGAGGCACAAAACAGACTCTGGTGGTGGCAGCTGATCCTGAAACCCACTAGAAACAGCACACCTGCAGGGGGCCCTTTGGTCGACAGCAAAACCCCCCCAAAGGGAGCCCAGCATCACAGTCTCGAGCTGGGAGTGGAGCTGGTAAAAGCAGGCACAGTCTGAGACCGCCACCAGCGGGGCGGGCCCCTGTGTCCTCCGAGCGCGGAGCAGGTGTGAAGCTGACGGAGGGAAGCCCACCTCCTGGACAGTCTGGTTTTGGGAAAAACCAAACCAAGGCCCTAGATGTTCGAGCAACTTGACAAATTCCAGGAATTTAAAGCACCAACAGAAAAGATTTAAAACTCGCATCTTAATTTCAGCATTTGATCTTTCCCCAGGTGAGAATTTTTCAAACCAGAAGTGAATCCTAGATAGAAAGTGAAGAAAGAAACAGTCTATTTTCTGAGCACATTTTACTCCATGCCAGAGGCCTGCTGGGCACATTACACACAGTCTCCACCTTCACTGAATCCCATGAGTCACAAAACCCATCTTACTACTGCGGAGCTGGGGCTGGACAACGCCCGTTAGCCTGCCAGGGGTCTCACGGTGGCAGAAGTGACGACGTTTGGACCCGGGGTCCGATTGGGGCCCTGCCCCCGGAGTCCCCCCAGCACACAGAGACGGGGGGCACTTGCCTCTAGGGGAAGGTAGGTGTGTTTCTGCTCCTGCCCGACTTGTAAACATGGGAGGTGGGGGTAGCGCAGGACCAGCTTGTGCCTGTCCTTGAAGTACTGGGCCACTGTGCACTCCACCGTCTGCCCGCTCTCCTGCTGCAGCGGGAACCTAGGGAACAGAGAGGCAGCTCAGGCCCTGGGGGACGCACGGTGGAGCCCCCCTGCCTGCTCAGCTCGCACAGGGCTGCTTCCTTAGGGCTGGAGAAGGTGCAGGGAGGTCAAGCATCTCCCAAGGGTCAAAACGAGATCATGCCCTCTGCGGCATGTCCCTAAACTTCTGTTTCACCTCTGGAGCCGGAACGAAAAATACCCACATGCTTACAATACACAAAAATCCCAAATGACACACACGTCTAACATACGCAAAAGGGATTCAGGACGAGCGAAGACAGAACCAGACAGAAAGTCCTGTGTGCCTTCTAGCTGGCCTCTGACTGGGCTGATTCTGAATGTCGTTTGTGGACTGAGAGCTCCCAGTGCTGCCCCACGGGACCTGAAACCTCCCAGGACAGAAGAGCGGAAGGGACAAGCTGGTGGGAGAGACCCCCATGCAGAGTGGGGCCAAGGGCGCTGGGCATGGGTCAGGGGACATCTGCTGATCCCTCTGCTCTGCCCAGGCGGTCGGCCATCCCTGCAGGCTCTGGCCAGTGGAGGGAGGTCACAGGGCCAGAGTGTAGGCCCATCCCGCGCTCCTGCTGCACAGGCCCTGGGCATCTTGGTGTAACCAGTGCCCAGAAGCACACCCGGCACTGCCATGGAATGACCATGCCATAAACTGAAGAGTCCTCACTGGACCCAGGAGGCCTCAAGGTGGGGCTCGGGGGCCACACACGCTAAGACGGCCCTGCGTCTGTGTGGCCAGGCCAGTTACTGCACGGATCACAGCCCCAAACTGTGAGCTGATGGAGCACCAAGAGCACAGGGCAGAGGCCCTGGCGTCAGCGGGGGTCGGGGCCACGCCTGTGAGTTGCGGCAGTGTCTACTGATGGCCACCCCCTTCCAGGACCACGCTCAGCAGTGAGGACTGGAAAACTAACCCAAAAGACCCTCCTCTTGCCTATAAGACTCAAGAAGGAAAACCGACGGGGGCCCCCATCCCACCCCACCCAGGCAGAACCTCATTATTTCACATCGTGAAGTACAGGACCCACTAAGCCAAAGGTGTACTTCTGAGCTTTGAGGGTGACATCTGGGCGACAGTGCAGATTGGGCGGATAAGGGTCTGGGGGCCATTTACGTTTGGTGGCTGGCAGGCCTCCGGGTCACGTTGCAGACGCGGTACTTCCTCTTCATCTGCCCGCAGTGCGTTATCTCCACCTTGAGACCTGGCGACACAGAGCAGCTGGGCTTCAGCGCAAGCCCTGCCACCTGGCAACAGGGACTGGCGCCCAAAGACCCCTGCAAGGGCGTTCTGGGGGCCCTTGGAGTGGGCCACGGCACCCACAGGGACGCCGGCCACCCGAGACGCCCAGACCAGCGGCAGGGCACTGTTCTCAAAGAGAGGGTGACGGCGCGGGCCAGCTGAGGGCACGGTGTCAGCACCACAGCTTTCTCCTTCCTTCAGGATTATTTTCAGCAATGAGTACTGCTGCCCATCTTGAGACACCCCCAGAAAGGGACAGGTGTAGAGGGGCGGGGCTCTCGGGGAGAGCGGCGGGGCCCGCCCACCATCCGATGCCGGGCAGACGGACCCCAGCCAGGCCAGTGAACTCTGGACTGCACTTCCTCGAGTAGAAACCAGGCCCGCTGGGTACAGACAGTGCCAAAGCTGTGACTGTCAGATGCCAGGGAATCAGATTCCCAAACGTCATGAGACGCTGACTGTGACCCTGCAGCCGCCCTCAGGCCCGAGCATCCATGCCTGGACGCTGCTGAGCCCCCACACAGAAACCCACTTATTTAGAAATTGCTCCCACTCTGAAATGGGTTAACTGTCCCCGTGCTAATCCATCAGACAACAAACTTCTGCCGCCCCACCCCAGAAATGCGCAGGGACAAGGTCTCAAGAGACCCGGAGAGGGGCGGGGCCACGAAGGGGCCGCAACCCCACGTGCCAGGTGGCTAGTTACCTTTGATTTCTTTGGTAAACTTTACCCTTTGGGAATCTGTCAGAGGTTTTTGTTGTTCTTCAATACTTTTAAAATCCAAAACTTCACAAACAAACTCAATCACCGGTTGTGCCTTGTAAAACGCTGTTGCCGAGACTACAGGCAGGAAAAGAGACAAAAGCAGAAACATGACCAGCTGTGCCCGGTGCAGCCCCTTCCAGTGAACCCCACACCTCTGCTCCCAGCACCTGCAGAGTCTGGATGGAGCAGCGGGGGGGCTTGAGTCGGTCACTGACTGCCCGATCCGACTCCAGTCAGAGGCAGTGGTAGAGTCGAAAGGTAAAGTCACCCTCTGAGAACAAAGCTGGGTTTAGAACAAAGCCTCACAGATCGTGACAACCCCCACAAGTCTTGGATGTCCTAGCACTCTGACTGCCTTCTTGTACAGGTCCCTCTGAAATTTACCACCCCCGCGTGTGAGCCAACCCAGAGGGCAACCAGGAGTCTCCCAAGAGAGGCGGGCCACCTGCAAGTCTGGAGACAAGGCGGGAAGTGACCGCGAGCTGGCCCCCAAACGGCCCCCCTGTTCTCATACCAACCAGGCCGAGACGAAGCTCCTGCAGCAGGGGGTCCGCTCACCAACTGGAGCCAGCCCCCGCGGACACCAGCTGAGCCCAGGTCCACCTCAGTGCCCTGAACCATGTCTCTGGAGTGGGCCCCACGGTGGCAATGATGGCCAAGCCTGAGGGTTACTGCCCTCACTGAAGGAGCAGTGAGGCGGGTTGGGCACCTGCAGCCCCCTCCCCCGGCTCTGACGGTCCCCAGCCCCACCCCAGCACGACTACCAGGGCTTCGCTTACCGTCAATATTCAGCATCATCTTCCAAAGAGAAGGCCGGACGGACTGATGGAAGCCAAACCACACCT